AGACGGCGGCGCGGTGACGTCAGACGTCGCCGTGGCGGCGGAGCCCGCCCGCTCCCAAGATGGCGTCGCTGCTGCAGTCGGAGCGGGTGCTGTACCTGGTGCGCGGCGAGAAGGAGCTGCGGGCGCCGCTGCCGCAGCTGTACTTCTGCCGCTACTGCAGCGAGCTCCGCTCGCTCGAGTGCGTCTCACACGAGGTAACGGCGGAGCGGCCGCGCCGCACCCGCGCACCGGGCGGGACCGGGCGGGACGGTGCCTTCTCTGCGCGCACCGATTGGGTCGCTCTCCCGCCGCTCACTCTCGTTCTGCTTTGCTATTGGTTGTTGGCCGGTTGGGGGGGTGGGCACAGCGCTGCACGGAGCGCGGCGATTGGTTACGGGTGACGGATGGGGCGGTTGCTCTCTTTTGATTGGCTGTGTTGCCTGTCCGTCAGCGAAGCTCGGGCTGTGATTGGCTGAGGCGAGCGCACAGGGCGGTTTCCCCTCATGAGGGCTGTGCCCCCCTAAAGAGCCCCGGCCGGGGGAGCGGGGACCCCCCAAACCTCGGTGGGACCCGACCGGAGAGCCCTGGAGACCCCTCATCCCTCGGCGGGGCCCGACCGGGGCTGTGGAGACCCCTCATCCCTCGGCGGGCCCGACCGGTTGTGTCAAAACCCCCCTCGCACACCCATCCGCCCCGGTCGGGGAGGATCCCCCACTCCCCCAAACACACGCCCCTCGTCATTATACGCTAGGATTTCTGCTGGAGGGTTTTTGGCTTCATAAATTGTCTCAATAAAATCGGTAAAACTGATTTTGTGGAAGCCTGGTTGAATTAAGAAATTGTGGTAGATTTGGAAAGCCTTGAGAGAATGACTGTGCAGCCCAGATCTAAGAAGAGGCGTCTTTAAGGCARTGTTAAGGCCTCTGAAGAGCGGATTTGTGCCCTGGCTGCATCCCTTATGAATTCACTGTGGTGTGAGARGTGTAGTCATTGTGTGTGTCYATGCCTAATAATCAGTTKGAATTGCTTTCCAASAAGAGGCCCCTAGTCTTGCTGYTGTTGTTTTAATTGACAAAATTTGCTGTGACAGCTGAGAGATACAAAGTGTTTTCTGAAATGTGTGTGYATCTGACYAGTGCGACTGCAAGGACAGAATAAATTAGRYATAAATAGAAAACAACACCTTAAAAYCYCTTGTTAAAACTGAGACATGACWGTCTTGTAACTGTCCAAGCTCSACACCCAGCTGATCTTTTYCCCTTTACAAGRTGAAGTTTGATCCTGACTTAAGTTTAATTCTAACTTAAGAAGCCTTCTGATTTACTTTGATAAAGGTGAAAATCTGGCTGAGATGGGCTAAKATTTTGTRTATGAAAAAATGCCTCAAGCCTTYYGTGGCTTCRTTCCTCTGTTGCCARTTCTTGTCAGATCATGTGGGAGTTTGGGGCTGTCTGGACAAAGGCRTGSCTGGTAACACWTGTGATGTGACTGTCTTCTTCAGGTGGACTCTCACTACTGCCCCAGCTGCCTGGAAAACATGCCTTCRGCTGAAGCCAAGCTGAARAAGAACAGGTAAARTTGCTTAGGCTCTTTTTTTCATCGAGGCTCCCTATTTTAAATAGCTCCTTCGACTGTCTGTCTGAAGCTCTTCAAAAATTACATGGTTGCATGTTATGTTTGAGTCTGTTTTGGGGAATTAGTGTCTGAGGTATCATGTGCTCTTCATGGCTTTTGGAATTTTCTGATGATCTGGTCTCATAATACAAAGGTTTTTTAGTATCACATTATGTTTCTCAGTGGTGCTGCTCTTACGCTGACTCAGAATCCCTCACGTGCCCGTGATGGCTCTGCTGCCCTTTTTCCCTAGTGCTGYTGCCTAAGAGTTAAAGATCTGTTGGTTTAACATTGATGAGGTTGTTGGGAACATTCTCTCAGCCTGGGACCCTCCTCAGAGCCCTGCCTTTTTGTGTGCAGGTGTGCCAACTGCTTTGACTGCCCCTGCTGCATGCACACCCTTTCCACACGGGCCACCAGCATCCCCGCACCGCTCCCCGATGACCCGGCCAAGACCACCATGAAGAAAGCCTATTACCTGGCCTGTGGCTTCTGCCGCTGGACTTCCCGGGACGTTGGCATGGCAGACAAGTCTGTTGGTAAGGGACAGTCCAAGACAGAAAGCTGAGTTGCAGCACAAGCCTGGTTTGTGTTTTGAAGGTAACAGGTAGCCCAGTTAGTTCCTGAGTGTATTATAGGCTTAATATCTGTCTAGGATTGGAGTTGTAATTGGAAATTCACAGGAAATGAATTCTCTTTGTTGCTGAAGACTCTGAAGAGCCGAGCTGARTTAGTGGAATAGGTGACCTACTTMCAATGCTCAKGTTACCTGACTAGTGAGAAAACTGTCAAACTGTTTTAGTCAGTGCACTCTCCCCACAGCTGAGATCTTGTTTGTGGGCTTTCACAGTCTTTGAAGCCACTCAATCTGACAGYATAAACAACYAATTTATTTTCCATCACTTTTGCTCRCTTARYCTTRTTCTGGAGTCACKAGTCAGTGTTTGAACTTGGCTTTTCTCTTCACAACAGCACTAGAACAAAGCCTTCATCTATTTCTTTTTTGTACTTGATATGTACAGAAAATATCTGTCAGGCTCCCAAAATGGGTTTGAGTAGGCCAAGCAGATCCTCTGACTTCCAGTGTTGATGTGACTGAAAATGGAGCCAAGGATGCAGAGACAGCAGCAGCCAGTAATGAGACACACATMTAAACRWRTACCTGCTGCTTAAGTGACTCCTGGGTGCTGTCCTGAGTATMTCTCARACAGYWTTTGTTTAAAAACACAATATAAAARCTGTCAGCCCAACARCCCAAGCCTGCTTCTGCRAAGSTTTCAGAGGTRTATATTTATACAGACATGAACTTTAAAAATTGCAATGGTGTAAGTGCAGCAAAAATAGGGAATGTCRTATTTTATAAATAACACCAAGATAGTTGAGTGCTGATTTCTGTGTGGAGTCTGGAACCTCCTGCTGACTTTGCTTTTTCTCTCCTCTCATGCAGCAAGCGGTGGCTGGCAGGAACCGGAAAATCCTCACACACAGAGGGTGAGTGAGTGGGAAGGCTGTGCTTGGGCTGAAATGCATCAGCCAGAAAGAGCTGTTAGTGGTGTCAGGCCCTCTCAATCACTTTCTCTGCATCTATATAATCCTTCAGATACCAGTTCCAGCTCCTAATGTGCACCTTGATGAATTCAATGGAGGGAAGGCCTCTTAGAGGCTCCCCTGAGGATATCGCAGTATAAAATCTCCTTTTGAGAAGAAGCTCAGTTGAAACCATCCTATCTAATGGTGCTGTTAAAACACCACTGCTGAATGTGCTGCGTATGTATGTGAAAAAAAAAGCTGTTTTCCAATCAAGAGTGTGTCTAGGATCTGGAAAACACAGCTACACCTTTAACACCCTTCCCTGTCAACCGTGAGGGCTCYACTCKAAATGTGACCAGCCTTGGGGAGGGGGGAAAAGATGCTAAAGATGCTGTTTTCTCTGCTGATCCAAATTGCTCASTTTTGGCCACATGACATTACTCTGTCCAGTCATCACAAATACGTGAACAAAATCTCAGTTGCTGAATTGCAAAGTGAGAATTGGACACTGCCCTCCTACACACATCATTCCCAAGGGAGAGTCAGTTTGTCACCCACTGCGTGGGTTRAGACATATTAATATACAAAGACTTCTTTAAGTACATCCTTCACAATAGAGCTGGTACTAGGAATCAAGTGACACAAGTAGCAGGAGCCCCAGCTAGTTCACCAGCAAATGCTGCAGCTGATGTGACATTGCTCCCCTTACACKGGGTTCCTGTTCCTTTTCCTCCCTCTAGATTAACAAACTGGTTGAGTACTACCAGCAGCTGGCTCAGAAGGAGAAGATCGAGCGGGACCGGAGGAAGCTGGTGCGACGCCGAAACTATGTTCCCCTGGCCTTCTCGGTGAGCTGGTTGTGCCACCTTCTCAGAGCAGGAAAAGTGATCCACAACAGCCTCAGCCTGCAGAATTAGATAGTTGGTAGCATAGTAGGGCTGCCCAGCTTTGGCTGATTGAGGACAACATGAAGAAAATGAGGYTTTCTTTAGGGATGAGTAGTTTTACATCTGTTCCAGTGTATTACATTGCCACTCTCTCTCATAGTCCTTCCCAAYAGTGCCAGAAGGGTTTACACTTGTCATGCCTAGGAATATGTTCTTGAGCAGTGAAATGCAGTGCAACTGCAGCTGGAGTGGCAGCTCTTTCTCAGGAGCAATTCATCCCACAGCTCAGTGACAGATAGATCAGCATTGTCTGGCACTTCTCTGCTTGAAWTTTCTACTGAAATTAACCTTAAGACTTGGTTGTGGCTTGAATGACTTRTTTATTGTACCTGGCAGGTAAATGCTCACTTTGTTTAGCTGGGTGACTGCATATGCTTGCTACTTCAATGAACTGTGCTTGCTCTGTGCCCTTGCTTGTGTCTTATGGCTGCATTTTTTGTCTCCGTTGCTACCTGCTGCTATTTTGGGGGCTCTCCACAGCAACACACTATACACGTAGTGGTAAGTCTTTTCACAGTTTCTGCTGGTGTTAAAGCTCTCATGGTACCAACTGAAGGSAGTAACAGATCTTACACCTTGCCTCAGAGCCTCTGGCTTGGGTGTGCCTAGAACAGACACAGCTATCTGTGTCTTAACTTAAAAGCTTTAACTTTTCAGAGGGTAACATTTGTTACAAAAAATACATTCCTTTAGAAACAGGGCAGTGTCTTTGAGTGAGTAATATACACTTGWAAAGCAATTTGAGACACTAGCCATCTGCTTGCCCAAGGCAAGTGGCGTTAACATTAATCATCTCATCTTTTAAAAATCACCAGAGTAGGCTGATGCTYACATTTCTCATTTGGTGAGAATGTGGGTTTTCAGCCCTGCCCARAAGGAAGATGTCTGCCTCCAAGCACCCTGGGTACAGCTCWACTGTAGAAAGCTGAGGAGTARCTCAGCTWGTCCTGGTGAGAGAGACTTGTAGGTAACGAGGCTTGTAGGAGTTTGACCCTTCCAGCTGCTTCAAGTAGTGCTACTGAGCCTTTCAGATGGATGCATAACTACATCAACCCACTTTTTCTGGCAGCTGAGCTCTCATTCTACACTACTTGACATGGAGTTGCTCTGAAGAGAAGGAAATGTGTCAGTAGTGCAGGGTTGTGATTTGAGGAAGGAGCAAAAAGCTTTATAAGCAGTAGCCACACACATCTGTCTTTCCCCATCTGCACTGCAGTGGGAATTGTCTTCTCCTTCCTAACAGTTTAAGCAGAAAAAACTATTGAGGGAAGCATAGAATATCTTTTCCTTTTTGCTTTCCTTTGCTTGTACCCCCATGCTTGTCATGCAGCTCAAAGGATGAGTTTGCAGCAGGTCTTTTTGTCCTGGTAGGAAGCAGATGTGAGGGTGACAGTTCCTTTTTTCCTTGTAGGACAAATATGGCCTAGGAACGAGGCTTCAGCGCCAGAGGCCCGGAGCTCCCATCAGTGCCCTCGCTGGACTCTCGTGAGTGTCAGGGTTGGGGTTACCTTTGCAGGGAGGATTGGAGGTGTTGGCAAGAAAGCAGTAAAGCAGCTCTTGAGAACATGATGGGCAGATAGCAGTGAGAGGACATTTCTTTTTTGGGGTGCTGGAGACATGTCAGATCCTCGTGCATCTCTGTGCAGCATCTCCAGATGTTCCTTCTTCCAAGAGGAACAAGTGACTGCTCACACCCTTGTTGTAATTGTTGTCTTTCAATCTCAGCTCTCGCTGCCTTCTGTGCTGTAATGCAGTTACTGTTATTGCTGTTAGAGCACACAGTGCCCTATTTTGTGACCAAGTTGTCCCTTATTTTGCTTTAGCCTGAAAGAAGGAGAAGACCAGAAGGAGATCAAGATCGAGCCAGCTGATGCAGTGGAGGAAGTGGAACCCCTTCCTGAGGATTACTACACAAGACCAATCAATCTAACAGAAGGTAATAGCTTAGTATTCTGTCACTTTTTGCCCTTACTTTTTGTAACATGGACAGTGCCTACAAAATTCTGAAGTTCCTAATGACCCAAGCCTCTGGTCATTTTTATGCTGGGATTGAAACAGTGGAAAATACATGAGTTATTAAATGGTAACTTTGAATGCAGACTCTGTTTCTTGTACATGGAAAGCTCAGAGCCAGAAAGTCTGAAGGGTTATTTAATTTTCTTGCTGGCCTTAATTTCTGTGTGTGTGAAGCATTAACTTTTGGATGCAGAAAAAAGCTGATGTCCTTTTTCAAATAATAGCAGGAAATAAGGAAATAACAGCTGCTGGGGAGCTGGAACCAAAACTGGGCTGTTGAGTAAGAATTGCGTACAGCTTTGACATCAGCTTGGAACAGCCTGTGTACACTTGCCAGTTCTTTAGCTGACTCATGATTTAATCCACAAATACTGTAAATTGATCTGTCAGAGTTGGGACTGAACAGGATAAACCAGCAGGTACAGGAGCAATGTTGGCTTCCAGCTGAGGTGGCTGCAAGTAAAACGGTAATTCTGCAGGCCTACAAAGTCTGCCATTATCAGTTAATTAAAGAAAGATTTACATAAAGGGGTAGATCCTCTTGGTCTCCTTTTCTTATGAGACTGTTGGCATTGAGAGGGTTTGATGCTGGTGAAGAAGACAACCTTCCTGGTTCCCCACAGCAAGAGAAAGGCTGCCAGGTGGCTTAGTGCTTCTTAGGCACTGGAAACAGTGAAGAGCCTGCGTTTTGGGAGAAACCCGTGGGTGGTTTTGGCTGCTGGGAATTCCTTGCCTTGGAAACTATGTTTTCTCTAATTCTACATGTGAGTCTGAATTCTGCAAACTCCTTGGTAAGAAGCTGTGTATTGYATTCATGCAGCACCCWKCTGTGAGGRTAACAAAGCTGTGAAACTCGTTTGCTGTGGTGAGGGAAAGAACTCTGTTTTAGACGATTRTGAAACTCTGGTTTCCATCCCAGCTCAGCTTTGAAGGGAGATGTGGGTCCCTTGTTTCTTCTGGGCTGGCACTGATGTTGCACTCATGTAACTGTGCCCAGTCAGGGCAGCCCTTTATTCAGCTCTTGCCTTTCTGTTCATTGTTAGAAATGTGATATTTGCCAGTAGTTTCTGAATTATGGGGTGCATGTGAGATTAAGTTTCTTAGAGATGGTGGCAGGTCTGCACACAGTGCAAGGTGCACTGTAGAATCCAGCTCGAGTTTCAGTTCCTGAGACATTTCTTTGTCATTTGGTTGTGCTCCCAGTGACGACTCTGCGCCAGCGCCTGCTGCAGCCTGACTTCCAGCCCATCTGCGCTTCCCAGCTCTACCCACGTCACAAGCACCTCCTGATCAAACGCTCGCTGCGCTGCCGGGTAGGGAATYCAATCCAGAAAAGTGCCTTGTCCAGGCTCACAGAACTTGGGTGCTGAGAAACGGACTGGGTATTTCTCTTTTAAAAGAAACTGCTCAAATGCTTCTGGTTGTTGAAAGTTCTCAACCAAGTTAGTGGTAACAACACTAGGGGATGAGGGAGGCTGTCACACCTCTGGTGTAATAACAATTGTGARAGGAGGTCAACACTGTCAAAGATGCATAAAGATACAAAGGTAGTTTGGTGGTCTGTGCTAGTGCCCTGCCTAGCCAAGGAATCAGAAGGCTGAAGCGAGAATTAAAAAAATTTCTGTTGTTACTAAAGACAAAAGTCAACAAAGTATTAAGGAGAAGCAGTGCAGAATACTGAAGATGTCACCAGAGTGAAGGCAGAAAGGGTATTTCAGAGAAGCAAAACAGAGAGATGGGACGTGAACAAAGGCAAGAGTTAAATCCAAGTTCTGCTGCTGTCTTTCTGCATAGTCCTCACTACATGATTTATTTTCTCTGTCATACAAGATATTTATCTAGTTCCTAAATAGTTCCTATTGCTCCTAATAGAGCAATAGTCTTSTAAGTGTTCAAGATGCAGAATGCTTTGCATTTGCAAATGCAGAATATTTTCTCAGAAATAAGTAATGTCAGACTGATCATGTATTTGAAGAGTAGCTTATGATATCAGGACTTGAGCTGCTTCATTTTTTTAATGGATTCTGGAGCACAGATCGAAGGACTTACAGGTGTTTGTGCTGTAGTCAATGTTCAGATGTTTTCAAGACTGGTTCCAAGTCTTATGTTTCTGAAGTTGCACTAGTACTATTGGATATGGCATTTTTTGGGTATCAACAACTGAACAGAGTGATGGCTACGTGCACCCCAGAGTGATGTGCTGTGCTGGAGGCTGTAATATCATGGCTAGTGACATAGCACTTGTGCCTCTGATTCTTCTGTGTGTGACTGACTGCACACTGTCTTTTGGTGCTGACTKAAATACCTTTGTCTCTAGAAATGTGAACATAACCTGAGCAAACCAGAATTCAATCCAACATCTATCAAATTCAAGATCCAGCTGGTTGCTGTGTAAGTAAGACATGGGGACTAGGGACAACAGCTGSCTGTTACTGCATAGTTAATGCCTTCTGTTTTAATTTCTTTAGTACTCTTGTTTGACCTCCTGTAGGATTGTGTCATCCCTTAGGATGGTGCAATCACCTTTTTAAATATATTTAGCTTATCTGTAATAGGTTGCTTGCTGATCTACTAAAGATTTCAGCAGTTTGACAAAAACACCRCATGCTGTGCCAGCCCCAGCCCATAGCAGAGGTTTGTCGGATTAGGGTTATACAGCAAAAGGACACTTCATTTTTCCTTTTAATGCAAGCCAAACTCTTAACAGCTCTCATACCTCCCTTTGCTTCAGAAGGTGTGTTACAGAGAGCAATGCAGTCCCTCATGGTCATTTCCTCTGTTATTTTGTAGTAACTACATCCCTGAAGTGAGGATCATGTCTATTCCCAACCTGCGCTACATGAAGGTCAGTAGCTTTTCAGAAATGTCTTGAGCTGAGACAGCCAGGAGCTGTGAATGTACTAYCTTTTTGGAACAAGACATTGTGTGATGATTGTTCCCTGAGGGSTCCACTCACTCCATTTAGAGGATGCAAGATTTAAGGAAGTGGCCAGAGTAACACTGCATGTACTTGTCATTCTGCAGCAGTAGATTGCTGTGCAGTGTGACATCTGGCATCACAAGCACTTGCCAGTGTCTGAAGAATAAAAGGTATGGAATTGAGATCTCAGCTAGACTCCCAAAATACGTATTTCTTACATTAAGAGTTTTGCATGGCATTGGTGCCTTTCATATGGACATGGGGTAGTCAGTGTCCATCCATTGAGAGGATGTGATGTAATTTTTTAAGGTGTTGATCATTTAGAGAATGTGGAGGTGCTTACRGTAACAATGAATTTAGCACAATTGCTTCTTGAACTGTGATTCCTGAATTTCCCCAGGAGAGCCAAGTCCTTCTGACTCTGACTAATCCTGTGGAGAACGTCACACATGTCACATTGCTGGAGTGTGAGGAGGGAGACCCTGACAACATCAACAGCACTGCCAAGGTATTGATTGCACCCTTCTGCTGTGTAAGCCCAAGCCTCTTCCAGGGTTTACCACTCCCCTTTGTCCTTCCACAGGCCACACTTTTCATATGTCCTTCAGCCCCTGCCAACTGTGCTGCATCTCCCTCTGTGGAGCTTAAATGACTCTCACCAGTGTAAACAGCCACTCATGAAGTATTTTGAAATTATYTTTTCATTGATATCCAAAACTTGAGGGAGTAATTAATGATTTCATTGGCAGGGTGGTAATCAGGTGGTCCTGAAACAGAGAAAAGCTAAGGATGAATCATTTTTCTGTTAAACCATAGTGAAGCAGATCTCAGAAGAGAAGACCCCTCTCCTGCTTGCAGTGCAGCTGGTGTTCAGTACTGAAAGGCTTCTTTCTCTCCATGCYCTGTTTCAGGTGGCAGTTCCTCCCAAGGAGCTTATTCTGGCTGGTAAAGATGCTGCAGCAGAATATGATGAGCTGGCAGAGCCTCAGGACTTCCAGGATGACCCTGAGTGAGTGTCCTGTGGGATCCTCTCCCTTAACACGTGGCTCTTTGAGTAACTTCCTCTCCTCCTGTCTGTCTTTGGGTTCCTCTGAGAGCATTGTTCCRAGTGGAACAATGCTTTGAGAACTTGGCTGACCCAATGTTCCTCTGTGTTCTGCCTTGCAGCGTTATTGCCTTCAGAAAAGCCAATAAGGTGGGAGTTTTCATCAAGGTCACCCCACAGAAAGAAGAGGGCGAAGTGACCGTGAGTTTCAAGATGAAGCACGAGTTCAAAAACCTCACTGCTCCCATCCGGCCCAATGAGGAAGGTGACCACACCTCTGAGGTGATCTGGCTCACCCATCACGTGGAGCTCAGCCTCGGCCCTGTGCTCCCSTAGTGGCTCCCAACGCTTGCTCCCGACGGCTGGATGGACTGGCACCCTGAGAAAACACCTGGTGAAAGGTTCTGCCAGAGCTCCTTTGTGATGTGTGGGTGTGCCACGGGCCCGGCCGGCCGCCAGGAGGGGGCTGAGGCTGCCGTGGTTTGGGCTGGCTTGTTCTCTCTCCCCTTGTCGTAGTCCCACTAACCACCACTCCACTTCCCCTCACTGCCACAAGCTAAAGTAACTTGCAGCATGAGTTAGAGCACAAAGAAAGATCTTCTTTTCTCCAGGTTTGCTCTGAATTYGGCTTTATCAGCAGGTAATTAGGGCTGAATTTGGATTTATCAATGGAAAAGAACCCATACTGTTTTTTTTCTTCATGACAGCCCTCAAACCTGATGTTCCATACCCAATGATGAACAACTTGTTTCACACAGAGCTATGCTCTTCCCAAACAAACATTTTAAGGAGTSTCCCTGCCTTCTGCATCGTGCAAGTTAYTGCCAGCAGCACGATGTTTTCTTTTTGTTTTCTGCTTCCTCATAGGATACCTCAACTGTGGGGGACTGGGCCATAGAGCCCTACCCCTCTGGCATATGTAGCTTGCTTAGCCGAGGTGCAGATGTGTTTTCACAAAGGAGTTGATCAGTTTRCCTTTAAACTTTTAACATAGTGTACTGTAGTGTTCATGGATCTGACTGGCAACCAAGCCCGCCCTCAGCCCGCTGGGCCTCAGCTGGATGTGGCAGCAGGATGTGCTGCAAGCTGGGAATTCATGTTCTGCTGCAGCTCTTGACTGAGGCAGAGATGCTCCAGTGAGGCTCCCTGGCAGTCTTCAGCTCAATCAATGTGTTGCTAGGGACTGTAGCAGTGAGGGTATGAAACCTGGAGAGTTAAGATTAGCTCTGGTAATCATAAAGCTACAGCAGTGATTTGGGTTCATAATGTTTGTTTTTCCAGTTAGGGTGGGTGGGAGGTGTAATGGTGGAAACTCATTATATGTYARCTACACACACTGTACCAGAAGGTCRTTTACCCTGAGTGTAATTTGGCTGCAGTCCARTCGAAAATGGGTGATGAAGAGCTGTGTATCCAGGAGACTGAATTACCAGTAAGTGCATGGCTAGTGCAGGCAGGGGAGATGGTTCTTCCTGCAGAGCATTCCCACTTCAGACGTTGACCTTTGTTAAACATTTCTGAGGGGCTTTGATGTGCTGCTCTGCTGGGAAAGGCTTGAATACCAGCCAGCCACAGCCGTGTCACTCCAGATGCTTGTGCCACGGCTCTGCCAGCCTGGATCTGTGAATCCTCTGCATGGAAGGGCAGGATGAGGCTGCCTGCTCTGCATGCTGCTGGTGCAGCACCCCAAAACATCTCCCTTAGTGTGAGAAACCTGCCGTGGTGTGCAGGAGGGGCTCACCTCASAGCCCCGATCCTGCAGCGGGTCTCAGAGTGGCGAGGCATCACGTTTACAACTCTGTGTAGGTGACACACAGATGTACAGCATGAGACTTGTAGTTAGTAGTTAATGTGTAGTGCTAGTGSCTGCTGCGGCTTTCCCTGTCCAGATAACAAAGCACTTCACCTCTGGCCACAACTTCTCCTGTTCAGTAGCCAAAACAGCTGCTGCACTTGCAACACGGCCATGGAAAGACCTCCCAGGCCCCACGCCTTAAGCTGTGCTTGGGGCTGGGGTTTGCTGCAGGCCAACATTACCTGCGCCCTTCTCATTAAAAACAAAAGGTGCATTGGGTTATGGCGTTCTGAGCGCTCTGATGAGCTCCGCGAGTTGTTTTTCCCCTCCCTGTAGGTGCTGTAGGCGATAGGAAAGGTGTTGGCGTGTCCCTGCCTCTGTCCCCACTCCCCGACAGRCGCCTCTTGCCTTATGCTTGACGTCGTGTAGTGACCTTCAATAAAACACACGTGGCTCTCGGATTCTTTGCGCTGGCTCTTATTGGAAAACAATCATTATTTAAACAAAGCAAAAAGCGGAGCTCCCCCGTCTGTTCCCGGTGGTCTCGTCCCCGTGGTTCCCCCCCCATTCTCGTTGCCCGTGGTCTCGCCCGTTGAGCTGCGCTTTAGCGCCCCCTCGGCCGCAGTGCTGTGACGTCACAGCCGCTTCAGCCCGCCTTTTCCGTCACGGCGCYGGTGGAAGTGGCGTCACTTCCGGCCGCCGCCTGCCGGCAGCGGAGCGGGGCCGCCATGTCCACATCGCTGGGCTCCAACACCTACAACCGGCAGAACTGGGAGGATGCGGTGAGCGGGGGCGGCGGCGAAGGGTCGGGAGAGCCGGCAGGAGCGAGCGTGGGCTGCTGGGGCCCTGCTTCGCTGCGGGAGCGTGTGTGGCGGCAAGGCCGCGAGGGGAGCGCGGGGAGGCGGCGCCGGGGCTGGGACCTTCCCTGGGGACCCGCCACCTTCCCTGGGGACCCGCCACCTTCCCTGGGGACCCGCCACCTTCCCTGGGGACCCGCCACCTGCCCTCGGGACCCGCCACCTGTCCTGGGGACCCGCCACCTGCCCTGGGGACCCGCCACCTTCCCTGGGAACTCGCCACCTGCCCAGGGGACTCGCCACCCTCGCTGGGGACCCGCCACCTGTCCTGGGGACCCGCCACCTTCCCTGGGGACCCGCCACCTTCCCTCGGGACCCGCCACCTGCGGTTCTGCCGCCCAGGAGGGCTCTGCCGCGGTTCCCCGGCCCTCTTTACAGAGCAAAGGGAAGGAGCGGTTCCGCCGCCCCCTCTCCCGCGCCGCGGTTCGGGGTCTGTGCTCACTGGGAGCTCTCCCGGCACTGCGGGGGCTGAGCTGGGCCCCTCGTGTGCCCGTGGCTGTGTCCCTTAGAGCTGAAGCCTCTCCCGAGTGGGCTCAGTGCACACAATCTGTGCCGAGGGATAACGGGGGCGGTGTCACTGCTGCAGTCCGGGCACTGACGGGTTCAGATCTCAAAAAAACCCTTTTATTTGTTTGTTCCACGCTTTACTTCAAGCTACAGTAGACAATACATTATAATTCTTTAATAATTTGGGCCTTGGTCGTGGCTTGCAGCTCTCCCTGTGTCTGTGAATCCATTTGCATCTTTTTATCTGTTTGATGTGTTAAACTAGAGAATTTTTCAGAGTGTGACTTGAATGCTGTTGTCATGGCARAGCTTGTTACAAATTCCCTATTTTTCTCTTGCTCAATTCAGGACTTCCCTATCCTGTGCCAGACATGTCTTGGAGAAAATCCCTATATTCGGATGGTATGTGSCTGTTGRATCCTGCAGTCCTTCCCTCTCTCTRTGGTGGCCCYAAAACTGKGGGTTTGGGTRCTAAAATGGGACTGGGTACAGGAGGGGATGCTGAGGTGGACAAATACTCCTGAATAGCTGGTTCTTCATAACAGGATCTGGTTCCAGCCATTGTTGGTGTGTAATATCATGGTTAGGGGTGTGATTTAAGAACAAATCAATCAAAAAGGAGAGGAAAATGACACAGTCCAGTGTCTGGAGTGCAAGAAATAGTAGAAAATGAAGTTTTAGTACTGGTGAACTCCAACATGGAAAGCTGTGAGCTGCTGAAATACTAATCAGCACCATTCCTAAAATGTGACAAACACACATCTCTAAAATTAAGTTAAAGGTGACTTATGAAGGTAGTTTAAGTCCCTGCTTGTTTTCCTTGGTTGCCTCTGTGCAGGGTGAATCAGCCCATGTTTTGTTGGTTTTCTCTGCCTGTGACCTACATTGATATGATCTCCTTTGTGTTCCTCAAAGTTTGCTGAGAGAGATTGGATTGTTYTTATGAAACATAACCCTAATGCTGGTACAGGCATCAAAAGCTGTTTGTTTTCAAGGGCTTATTTCATGTAACATCATTCCTTAAAAAGAGCTCTTAATGCTCCTTTTCATTCTTACCTTTCATCAGTACAGGAGGTRGAACTTAAAATATTCTGTTTTTAATGAATGTTTCTAAACCAAAAGTGTATTGAGGATATTTAGGACTTTTTTTTTGTTCTGTTGACCTTCCGAGGTGTAAGCTAAATGCACAGGGGTGGGGGAATCTAAATGCAGCATAATTATGGAAAAACCTACTGTGTTATAACATCAGTGATACGTTTCATGTTTTATACTGACTTGATGATATTTCATGCTTTCTTTTATTCTTTTCTATTATATTTTAGACCAAAGAAAAATATGGAAAAGAATGCAAGGTATGTTTGTGTCTTTTGAAGAAAGACTGTCAAAATAGGTGCAGATCTAGGAATAACACATTTTAATAATTAAAAACCTGCCAGCTTCAGGAAAGTGCTTATCTGGGTTAACTTCAAATATTTATGTAACTAAATTTTTTGGTTAGTCTACTGTGCTTGCTAAACAAAGTCAGTTGGTCCAGAAATAGTAAAATTATTGAGCAAATCCTAAGTCTGTCTAAACAATCTCCATTTTTGCGAATATTGTTATACTACATTTGAAGTTACTTCAGTATTTTAAATGATCCATGTTTTCTTGTGCAAATTTATTGTTTTTTTTTCAGAAGTGCAAAATACCTGGAGTCTGGGTTTTGCAGTGCTTATGTTATTTATGGTTATATGATGATTTGTGTTGCCTATCTTAGAAATAAGCCACGTCTATTTCCAAGAGCAAGAAATACTCGTTGTTGCTTGGACTGAGGGAAATTAAAGGAGGTTTTTGCCCTTTTATCAGTTTTCATCTGAGGTAGAGAGAAGGTATATGTTGAAGTTTTTGGAATTGTTGGAATTGTATTATGTACTCAAGCTGTCCGTGCAGAGGAAGCAAATGCATCTTTCCATGAGATAAGAGGGAGCATCACTCTTCTGCACCAAAGCTCTCAGAACCTCTCCTGGATTGCTGCTGTGCTAGTGCCTGATGTATCCATCATTGTAATTCATCTGTAGAAGCTCCACACTGACATCACCTGGAATGGAGTGGAATTTCTCTGTCTTTGAATAGATATGTGCTCAGGTTATTGTAATAAATAAAAGCAACAAGAAAAAAAATCTTCCCTAAAACTTTCTCCAGTCAAGGTAAAGCCCCAAATAGAAACAAGTTCTGAGTTCTGAGTCTTAGCTTTAGGATAAAAAAATATATAAGAAGTTGTATTTATGGTCTGAAGAGGTTAGATGAGTTTGGAGTTTGTTTCCATTCAAGAAGCAGAGTGGTAGCTCTGTGCATAGTGAGCCAGGTGTCTCCTTTCTGTCCCAGATTTGTGCCAGGCCTTTCACAGTGTTCCGCTGGTGCCCTGGGGTGCGGATGCGCTTCAAGAAGACAGAAGTGTGCCAGACTTGCAGCAAGCTGAAGAATGTCTGTCAGACCTGCCTGCTGGATCTGGAATATGGTGTGTACCCTAAAACTTGGTCCAAGGCAAGGA